CTATAAATACAAAGGGCGTGTTGAGTTTTGCATTCACCACCTATGAAGGAATATAATAGTGATCTATACCGATGAACTGCGGATGTTAAAAGAAGAATCTATAGGGAATGTACGATAAAAAACAACAATCCAATAGCCAGTGGGTCGGAAAGCTGTAAACGAAAGCGATATGTGAGCCACCTGCGGATCCACAAAGATGCTCTAGTCACGCTCAAGAGTTCAAATGATAATTCTTACAGTTTAATCGGAAGCTCTTGTTTTCTTTTTGAAGACAGATCCGATTTTCACTTTTTAATCCATCGATCTTCGTGCCACACAGAAAATCTCTCTCAGTTGTTAAAGTCTAAATTTGTAATGCCGCAAGTCTCTCAAGATGACTTCACGGGGAAATTTTATTTTCTTATCATGATGCACACCAAAGGGAGCCACGAGAACCAATTAGTTGTACCTGAAAGCCCGCGATCTAATCCCAGGGACTCTGGCGAAATGTAGGGCTCAATAAGGGTGGTACCGAGGTGAAAAACGGCAGTTGCCTACCATAGAATAGGGGTGATGGCGGTAGGATGTGAATCACTGACTTACAAATACGAAGTAAGTCAAGTCAAGTCAGTAGTAGCTTTTAATGAAAGTATTTTAAACCGTTTGGTCGAGTGTTCGCTTGTAACTGCGACATATCCCACGAAAAAATATAACGGGACGAGTAGAGCAAGTTAAGATTATCATGATCTGTGCATAACCATTGGTCACGCAACACAGGCACACGCGCATAGGAATCATACCTGCATGTCAAACAAGGCACTGGGCTCGCCTGCCTGGTTCACAAGCGCGTGAGTTGGGGGTATCGGATGGCGCAATTTCCAGTCCGTCTCACCATCCAATTGGTCTGTGCGAATAAAGCACGCCCCGTTCCGATCGGATGTCCATACCAGGACCATGTCAGCCGGAACGCGTTGATCTTTGTCCAACCGAATGAGATCTCCCACCTGGAGGAAGAGGAGATAGAAACGCAAACTGAGACGAGATAGTTCAAAAGAGTAGGAATGCGTTTACGAGCTAACAAACCAGGCAAGTTCCCAACAAATAAGTGTGGTCCATTACCACGACAATACATGAGGGAATAGTCTTATTGTGGAACTGAATCGATTACTAAACTGCTTACTTCGATAATTCGGCAAAACAGACGGGGATTGGGAGAAAGATAGATTGATTTTCGTGCGTACACGACCACATAAAACCACTGCAACAAAAATCGTTGAAACACACTCCTCGTACGCAGATTATACTAATTAGAACTTTTCCAATTTATTTAATTTTTCTCCGGTGACGTATACGGTATGTTGATCCATAACTGATACCGTGACTACGGTAGCCATACATTCCAAATGACGGTAGTCAACCGCGTACAACTGACAACGAAATTTCTGTTTCCACCGTTAAGTTTGCGGACAGAGAGAGAAAAGTGTCTGCGCCTTGCTAACCAATCCCAAGGACAAACTGGACTTTCGTTGAACAGTACAGAGTTTTTCGAAGGTGAGCAAGTTGCACTATGATTAATCAGTCAAAGAGATACTACTGATTTACTTTAAAACACCCCATTGGAAGGAAAACAAAAGGTAAAACGAATACCAGTCAACATAACCGGCCTCCAAAAGCCTCAGTATGGTCGGGGGTGAGTGTCTTGGGTTACGCCTGGTCGCCCTTCCCTTGCACTTCGCGAAATGCTCCCATAAAACCAATCGTCTCGAATAGCCTATGCTGAGGAAGCCCTACTCACTGCCTTCTCGCGGCGGTGTTTTCCACTAAAGTGAGAGGACGAAGAGCCGACATCCGGGGCCACAACCGAGTTGGTGAACCACTGGCAGTTTACCTAGGGTAGTTGGCCAAAATCCCGGATCCCAAACCAAACATGAGGAGACGTACGAACCACACCTACACCTTCCCGATTGTGGCGGTTGTGGTCACCGGATCGATTGGACATCGAGGTGTATTGGGCACCTTGGACGTTTGACCCCGTCCGAAAGGCGTGCGATCCGACGAACTGGACACCGGCTCCCAACGGATTACGGTTTTCGCACACTGTCCCGCTGCCTTGCGGGTCAGGTTTCGGCTAGCCAAAGGCTCCGGCTGTGGATTCCTCAAGAAAATTTACCTGGCTTGGCCTGCTCAACCTGGCAGTATTTAGCCCACATGCAACTCACGGAATGTTTTTCTATTTCAAAAAGATTATTGTATCATGATTTGTTTGGCACAGTCTGGCCTTAGACAAATGTGAAATATAATATATAATAATAACCGGAGGATACGGAGTGGCGGTGGCGCAGTGGTTTAGTCGCTATCACCGGCATGCTTTGGACCCAATGGTTCGAGCCCCGCCACCGCCACCCAACTTTGGTGGTAGGCAGCTTTGCTGTTGTCGGGTTCAATACCACGCCTAACCTATCGGGACCTTATGTGGTTCGCCACTCCAAGTCCCGGGACTTCGGTTACCGGCTTTCATCATTTAGCAGCAGGTCCTCGTCTGCTCTTCATCACACTAAAAATGTGTAATGAGAAGAGGATTACTTTTTTGGATAATTGAAAAGGACAAATACCGAGGGAAGAGAATTCAAACGATATTGCTTACACTCTTGATTCACTAGCAGTGGTAAACTTTTTCAAGAACTACTCACAAACTCACTCTAACTGGGAAGGAAATATGGAAACTATACCAATCTCACCGATTAGGCAGCTGCCCGGCGTACGAAAACCGGATCAAGTATTATCTAACCCACAAAAAGCTCGTTTAGCCTCTTCCAACTGCGACGTCGAGACATTCGACCCTCAGTGAAGGGGCACGTTGAAAGGCTCTGTTAGAGACCTCAGGAACAATTCAATTAACGGGTAGCTACAAGCGGAGCATGGAAGAGCAGGGTGGATAGTTGCTCGAAATGAAAACTGAAACCACACACCAGCCCCTGTCCATTGCCGGAATCGACTTGCTCAACTGTTTTGCTTGGACAATATGATACAGTCAACCCGAATTAGGTAACCTATTTTGTGGTAAACTACTTACCGGGCTACTTGGCGACGAACTTAGGCAAATCCCGAATGGAGGAATGCTACGGAGTAAAGTGAGAAGGTTGGGAACGGAAGACAAAAAGTTAAACTAAGGTTGGGATATCTGAGGAGTGACCCACCCCACTCGATGCAATGGACAGCGCGGTCCTGATTATCTTGCGCGACGACCGATGCAGTATGGAATTATTTTTTATTTGTGTATGCGTTGAGGTTTGATAGACGATGTCCAGTCACCAAGCAGGAGAACGATTAGGGTTCTCAACCAAAGCATTTAATTCTGACAAGAACATAGCCGCAAGGCAGCGGTTAGGGCGGGTTGGAGGCTCATTAACTTGGATCAATTACTCCTCCAGACTGGACTTTGTCTGACCTCTACTCATTGACCTTCCAGGCATGAGTAGATCTTTGGCTCGACAAAAGCAATCCTGTGTAGCTAGTTGGATCAGAGATGTGCACAAGCCATCACACTACGCCAAGGTGCAGTCTCGTCGTGATATGCATACATACTATTTGAAGCATTCTGGTCTGATAAGAAGTAACAGGAATTCGTCATAGGAGAAGTAAAAAACAACTGGCCAACTTGGAACAAAATAGTGCATATGTAGGCGACTAAAGTACACAGCACTAGCCACAATGGGCATCGCACGGCCACCCAACACGGACTCACCTTGATATCTTCGCTGGCCACACGGACCTCACCACGCCGTACATATTTGATGTACGTGGTCTGATTCACTTCACGGTCTCGCATCCATCTTCGCACATCATCGATCGCCTCACGAATAAGGGTAACGCATAGAACAAATCCCAGAGGACCCCAGTAAGTATACAAGGCACCGACACGGAGATCCGGAATGAACTGGCTAAGGGCCAGAATCAGGTAGATCAAGTTCAGAAAAAGGCTGAACTGCTCAAACAACACCTGTGGATAGAAAGAAAACACTGAACATGAACAGTGCACGGATAAGATCTCAAATAGAGTAGTCAATACGAATAAGAAAAACTAACTCTTCTTCACACTTCAGTCCACAGTGGTTGTAAGCCAAAAAGTTCGCCTCTGGTGAATATGAAGAACATTTGTGATGTAGTGAATGGGACTGCAATGAATATTGCTGCTCTAATTCAGGCGAACAGCTGGTACAAAGATCCAATACATCGACATGATCATGAAAATCAAAACCAGACTTTTATGATCATCCACTGTCGTTCGTCTCGGTCTAAGCACAATGTTGTCAAGACACTGAAGGTAGGTTGTCCGGGTCTCAGGATAATAAGTTCTGACCGTACAAACCAAAGTAGCATATTGGCAATGTACCACTTGGAAGATATCGGATTCCTTCATACCCAAAGGAAAATAAGACAGTTTATCAATCTATACGCCGTAAAAGACTGAAGTATCAACTACACTAGGACAACCCTGTACCCATGGGCAGTCCTGAACTTTGCCTGTCCATCGGGTCTCATCTATATCTTCGAGAAGCTGCTCCCTAGTGAACAGTGGGCATAACCCAGCAAACCACTTGAAAGGTAAGTAAAACGAGATTGCCAGTAGCGGGGAAGTATACAAGCATGTCAATGAGACGTTACTCTGCGGCAGTGCAGATCAAAATCCGTTGTGCAACGGCTGCATACGCATTCTTCAATGAAAAAGATAGAATGGTGCCGAGAATGACTTGAGCACCGCAGTCCTGTGACTTTTCTACACATCTCTCACACACGCACAGTAACCGGAACGCCCTGCGCTCTTCCAACAGTTTGGGTGACAAGACAGTGAGCGACAAACCCCAAAGCCATCAAAAAGAAAAAAATAATAATAATATTGAAGGCTAAACTCATAGATACGAAATCCTAAGCCATACCTATGCGCACATTCTATGGCTAGTACACTGACTTCGCGTGCCTTTCGAAATCGCGAAAACTGAATCTTGACGCATAAAAATCTTGGGAGTAGTTACGACCCAGATTCGCTTATCCAAACAAACTAATGGTCTGAAGCACGCGATTCAAGCACAACAAAAGACTTCCACTAACATGGTACTCAAACAACGGTCGCGCTGCACACCAAATTGATCACGTTTTGGTACGGTCATCGTGGTCATCCTCGGTTGAGGATTGCACAGCGATTCGGGGTAGTGAAACCGGAAGAAAAAATCGACATGAATCATGTCAACTAAAGCGCTCGCTTCAAGACTCATTCCTTTAATCACCATCAAACTCGGTTCACCAGCAGAATATACACTGCGGCTTTAGACGTCCAGGAAAATATATCGTATTTCACATGTGTCTGAGTCTAAACTGTATGTCAAACAAATCACGGTATAACCATCTTCATAACAAAGACATGAGCTCATGAATTACTTGTTGGTGGAACACTAACAGAACACTAACACGAATTTTCCTCAACCGAATCCTTTGGTGGCCAAGGCCAGTCTCGTGATCCGACTTACATGCTACCTGGTGGATGCTATATGCCTCTGTAAGTTGGATGGGTAATTAGAATGTGTGCGACGTTCACCGAGGCAAGTAGTGGGTGGCGGAAAGTCAAGAGTGGCCAAGCTAAGACCTAGGGCACGAGGATATGAAAACCCGAACCAGGAGTGTAGGCCACACAGGTACCGTTAGGCTCCTTGGCTGGGGACCTCGGGATGATCGTACCCGATGGTTAGAGACACTGAGTGTTATGGCTGGGTGTTGTTAAGTGATGTACTTGCATCTCCTTAATTTCTTTGCAAACTTAGAACACAACTTCTCCATTTTCTGTTCGACTTTACCTTTAACTTTCCTGTATTCTCCTATTCTTCATCCAAATGAGCAGCCAAAAGACAGCAACCAAAACCGACGCACGAAAGTGCATGGTTAATGGTTGTACAAACTGAACTGAGCTGAAAGATCAGTGCTATCGGTGTGGCCTCGTAGCTCAGCCGGTAGAGCGTGTGCTGTTCAAAAGCGAAGGCGGTGTCCATGCGCGGGTTCGAATCTCACCGAGGCTACTAAAATTTTCATAATTTNTGATAGATCACAATCTATTACTAGGCGATGATGGTGGTCACTAAATTATTACTTCGGAGGACGCGTGTTCGAATCCCACTAATAAGGCCTGAGTTTCTCCATTCTGTTTTATGGCAGTCCTTTGACTGATCACTTCCCCATCCTGAAAATTATATCATTATTTATTTAATAAAAGGAAATAAAATGAAAACAATATCTCTGTGTTACCGCTAGAAAAGCCTGTTACATTCATTAACGTCATCAGAGTGGCCAGAACAGTAATGCACGAATATAGAACGTAAACAAAGTTATCCCGTGGCTATGAAAGATACAATGTGACTCACCAAGGGGAGGAAAGAAAATACATTGTATTTTTGATTGTTGATTTTATTTGAAGGAAATTTCTGAGTTTTAGATGGGCGCCCGATATTTACCACACGGGCTTGATAAATCTTTTCTCGTCTGCAGCATTTCGAACAGGAATCCCAGCAACTAAGTAAGAGAACGGAAAGTAGCACGATTAAAACCAGAGGCCATTAGAATGTATATATATTTATATATGAATAACAATCACAATAATTGTCATACGGCGTAATACGCAGAAGCGAACTGCGCTGATTTCTTTTAAACCCACAAAATATACAATGCAGGGGTAGCAAACAACCATACTGGCAGCACCATTTCGCGCATATATATTGCACATTTCATACAGGACATATTGGAGCGAAAATCATCATCATCATCATCATTGTACAGCGTAATACCACACCATTCCAAGAATCAAGCAGCTTACGTAGCAGAAAAACCGGTGTATAACACGTGACGTTTAATTTAAGTTGAAAACTCGCGTAATCTGCGACATTTTACAATAAGTGGTGCTTTACCTTTTTGATACCAAGATATTGAGACTAAATTCATCCATCTCCTGAAGGTTTTCGAGGATCGATGCTTACGTAGCCTAACTTAGGTGGGACGGTGTGAGCGGGTTGATTGTTCTCGGGTGCATTGTAAACTCAGTAGGCTCTGCTGTTTGGGACACGTTTTACGTATATACCTATACGTACATCTAACGCTCGCCATAAGTGCAGGCACACGCTCCTGCGAGTCTTGAGCAAGCACTTTGCACTTAGACGGTGCAAAGCACATATCATACCTGGATGCCTCTATCGCCAAGTGGTTTAAAGCGCGTTAGACTGCCTGTGTATCGTCACCCAACACAGGAGACGGCTAAAGATGGCCATAGGCTTGAACCCGACCTGAGGTATGATGGTACAACTCTTTGAGGACTGACAAACTTCTCCGATACTCCATTCCTCAACAAACAGCTGCATTGTGCAGTCCTATCGACAGTGTCAAAGGCCGCGTCAGTGTCTAAGAACACAATGATCGTCGGTCTGTGGTAAGCATGACGGTGCTCTTATCATCATCATCATCGTGCAGCGAAATACAGGTGAGCGAATTTCACTGATCGCTGCCAAACTCGCAATGCATATGCACTGGGGTTTGACGGTCGGGTACTGTCAGGGTGTCCAGTCACTAAGCAGGAGAACGATTAGTGTTCTCAACCAAAGCATTTAATTCTGACAGGAACATAGCCGCAAGACAGCAGTTAGGGCGGGTTGGAAGCCTATTACCTTGAATCAATTACTCCCCCAACACGTTTTACCGACTGAGACGCCAACTCAAGACGAACCCCCCAACCTGGAGGACCAGGAGACTGGACTTCGTCTGACCTGTATCCATTGACCTTGCAGGCATGATTACATCTTTGGCTTGACAAGCCATCCTGTGTAGCTCATTTTGTCAGAGATGTGCACAAACCATCGCACCACGTCAAGGTAGTCTCGTCGTGATGGGCGGTGCTTCAGCAACTATCGGAGGGTGAAGATTTGATCGATGCAGCCACGACTGGTGCGAAACCCAGCCAGCTCCTCGCGGACGCGTTCCACACGTGTATTGTACAATCTACAAAGAATGATGGACACTAACAGCTTTGACGATATTGGGATCAGGCTTATGCCCCTATGATTGGTGCAGTCATTGCGCGGGCCCTACACCGTACACATTTTCCTGTTTTCCAGTTTTCCCTACATCTCATATCCCCCCCAAACATTCCCTGTGTCATCAGGATCTTCAGGTGACCGTACTACCATTTGTTGGGCAGAGCACTTCAATTATTATTATTATATTTCACACTTGTCTCAGGACAGACTGTGGGCCAAACAAATCATGGTACAATATTTATAAAAAGGAAAATGTTCCATGATTGGCTTGTGGGCTGTTATCTGTTATCTTGTATTTTCCATGTTTAACTGTCTCACCCACTTTTCACCATGTTCTGTATCTTAATCCACCTATCTCCTTTCACTGTCACTGTTGTTGCGTTGGCACCATGCTTGTTTTCAAGCCNGGCTAGACAAAACCTGACCCGCAAGGCAACGCGGCGGTGTGCGAAAACCGTAATCCATTGGATCATACGCCCTTCGGACGGGGTCAAACGTCCCAGGTGCCCAATACATCTCGACGC